CCTGGGTCCCTGTCCAATGTAGCAGCACTCGTGTCCAGGAGGAGAGACGCAAGCCCACAGGTCTGCGCTCCAGATGCGGTGGCAGAGGGAAGGATCTTGGAGCATTGAGATTTAAGGTTTAAAGCTCGACCGTTCTAAGTGCTGTAAAAGCCACACGGTTACTGGCATAGCTTTGAAATCTGGAGTAGCTCATGGGGCTGCGGAGTAGGGTTAGCAGGCCAAATTTGGGGTCATTTCACCAAGGCATTCCTGAGTTACAGCCCCCCCCCCCAAAAAAACCCCAGTTTCCTTAAGGTTCATCCTACCTAGCGCTTTTTATCCATTGAGCTCAAATCGTTTTACAAAGTAGATGAGGAAACTGAGGCACATGGCAGGGATTTGCCCAAGGTCTCCTGAGTCCCAGTGCAGTCCCACTAGGCCACAAGCCCTGCCAATGAATCCCTGCCCAGGCCTGTCTGAGACCAAGAGCAAAGGCTGTGGGGAGAGGAGGGCTGGGGGGAAGTGGCAAAGGAGGATTAAGCAGTCTCCCTTCCCAGGGGGAGTATGGAGAGGGAGGCTGTGGCCCCAGTGTGATCACAAAGCAGGACAGGGTCATGTGAGCTGGGCTTACAGGAGATCTCCACCCGCTGGGCACCGAGCGCTCTTGAAAATCTGGCCCTGCAAGCCCGTGCCTCTTCCCTCTCTAAGCAGCGTAACGCCCCCAGTTTCCTGGGGGCCGTTCCTGCTTTGCCTTGTGGTGGGAAGGCTGCTCTAGGAAACAAGTCAGCGGTCTGGGATGTGGGTGTAGGAGGTGCTGGGGGGCCAGGGCCATACCTCTACCTAGCTAGATTGATCTGGGTGTGTATTGCTCTGCCATGGGCCATGCCCTCCCCAGCTCCATGCCCCGCCCCAGAGGGAGTCAAACTTCATGGGAGTGCCATAGTCCCAGACACTGGCTGCCCCTGGGGAGTAGGAAGGGGAAGAGCCTCCCCCCTGCAGGTCTCAGTCGCAAGTGAGGCTCAGTGGCCTATCAGCAAAGCTCCTCCCAGACAGCTGCCTTTCGGCCCAGCTCAGCTGAAGGTCCCTGGACCCCGGAGACTGGAGCCCTCTTGCCTACAGCTGGGGGGAACTGACACCACTTGGGGGTAAAAGAAAGGGGCAGCTGGGGTGGTGGTGGGGGGACGCTGAGGGGACGTCTCCCTCCTACTGGCCTGCTCTGGCAAGCGGGCCCCCTGCTGACATGGCACCTGTTTTTGCCCCCAGACGTGAGCCCCCAGCACTCCCAAAGACCCCAGGGTGCAGCCCTGGGCTGGTCCTGAGATCTCTGCTGCTGGCCTGGAGGAGACGCCGACCTGCTCTGTGTTTTCGGCTCTTGGGATGCAATTTCCGCTGCCCAGTGCGGGAGCATCCTGGCAGTGGAAGGGGGGCGGACAACTTCCATTCTCTTGGTTTCTTTATACTTCAGCTTAATTAGAACAATTAAAGCAGAGTCCAAACAGAGCTCCTCGGGGACCTGCCGGCGCTCCGTCAGGGTATCCGACTGGGGGAGGCGTTCGTCAAGTACCTGAGTGTCTGCTGAGTTGCTCTGGATCCGGAGAGATGCGACTGGTGCACAGGCTTGGACGGGCTTTTCTCATCCTCTTCGCATTCCTTCCCTGCTCCCCTTCTCGTCCTCTGCTCCCCCTGGGCACCTACCTCCCCTGCTCTCCTCCCCCCCTACGCCAGGATCTTCCACCCGCCGGGTGCCCGTGTCCCACCGGCATGCTGGGCCTAGCAGCAGAGAGGCCCTGGACTGACGGGAGCGCAGAGACTGAGCCAGCCCCAGCAGGGGGCACTCTGAGGCACTGCGGGGCCTCTGGGAAACTGAAGCCCAGGAGCATTTTGCTGACTTTTCTGGGAGCGGGGTCCAGCCTTGGCTATCCGAGGATGCCAGCTCTTGCTCTGACTCCAGCCAGAGCCCCATGGATCCTGCCCTCGAGGCGGCAGGACTGGGCATCCAGAGGACCAGGGAGGAGGCTGTGGAAGGGAGCAGAGAGCTGCAGAGGGCAAGGGGCAGATGGAAATCCCAATGTCATGCCCTGCTAGGCAGTAGCCCCAAGGCCAGGGGGTCTGCTAGCTGCTAAGGGTGAGCGCCCCTCACAAGGCCCATGGGGCTCTGTGATCTCATGGGCCAAGCCCTGTGCTCCGGCCATGTGGCTGGACTGCCTGGGACTCGATCCACCGGCCCAGGGAGGACAAAGCGCTCTGGGGCTCTTCGTACGGGACGCTTGGCTCCCTCTCGCCTGGTGGCATTTCACTCTCCCTTCTCCGGCTCTCGAGTGGGGGCAGGGGGAGGAAGAGGGGGGTGCAGATCGCTGTGCGGGGACAACGCCATGCTGTCGGCACTGACTGCAGGGGGCTCCCAGCTGCACCCACCCTCGCTGGGGATCAGCAGCCGGGAGCGTGGAGCAGCAGCTGCTGAGGGCACCTGAGGTCAGGGAACGGGGACAGAAGATCCTACAGACTTGCTAGGGAGCTAGCTGCTCCCCTGGGCTTAGTGAGGCAATCCCTGGGCTGGCATCGCTCCATCAGAGGCAGTGTGGTCCAGCAGCTAAGGGCTGGGCCTGGGAATCAGGGAACCTTGGGCAAGTCACTTCCCCTCCCCGTGCCTCAGTTTACCCCCTCCTTGTCTGATTAGACCCATCTTCTAACCCCGAGACCACACTGCCTCCCACAGCAAGAAATAGAACCCAGGAGTCCTGGCTCCCAGCCCCCTCCCCACACACTCTAACCATTAAACCTTGTTCCCGCCTAACCATCAGCTCTGTGATGACTGACTGGGTTGCTGGTGATGTCACACTCCTGCCGCTTCTCTGAGCTGGCTTGAAACGTAATAGCCCATTTCAAAAGAAGTAAATGCAGCCCAGGAAAACCAGGTCTTTTCTCCTCTGAAGCATACAAGACCCAGGCTAGGCGGCGGGAGGAATTCTTTGCATCAAGTCGCTAGTAATGCTCCCGTTTTCTGCATGTCGAATGCACTGGCCACTGCGGGATCAAGCCCACCAGCTCACGCGCTGAGCTAGCTCCTATCCTGCGTGACTGGCTGCCAGCCCCAACTCGGCCTCTGCTCTCACGGTCACCCCGCTGGGTCCCTTCTGGCCTGCATGTGAATCACACCTGCATATATGGGGCGGGCCTCTCGGCCAGCAGCAGGGACTGGACGCAGGCACACCAGTGCGGAGCGCATGACCCTCGCCAGTCAGAGCCCCCCCAGCCCAGAGCTGTTGCCATCTCCCGGTCTCTGTGGATCAGGCCCAGAGCTGGCAGCGCGACAAGACACCAAACAGCCTGGTCCCTGAGCATATCTTGAGCCTGCCAAGCCAGCTCACAAACACCGATTTCCTCCAGCAGGAGGTGGCATTGCACCCACTCGCCACGCATGGAGAATGCATCAGCAGGCGGTGGCGCCAGACGGGCGAAGAAGCTGCTCCAGGCCTGCGGGTTTCACGGCTTTGCCCTGGACCCTTCTGCTGTCTGCCCGGGCAGAGAAGCTCCCTCAACCGCCTCCTGCAGTCTCAGAGGCTGGGGAGAAGTGAGTTAGTGAGCTGGGAGCAGTCACTGGGGTGGGCCAGGGAGAAGCCCCATGGTTATTAGGGACATAGGACTGGGTCATTGGGTCCAGTCCCTGTTGCGGCCGGCAACCCCATCATAGGATCCCGTCCACAAACTGACGGAGTTCCATCTTCAAACTAGGTCGTGTGCCCCGCACTGCTGCTGGGAGGCTGGTCCGGACCCTGCCTCCTCGCAAGGTTAGAAACCTGCTTTTAATTTCCAGCCTCAGTTGGCTCATGACTGGTTTATCCCCATTGGTTCTTGGGCCGACACTGTCCTTTAGCGTCAACGGCTCCTCTCCCACCCTGGGGATCCTCCACTTGGCTGCCATCAGCTCCCCACTCAGCCAAGCTCTTTCCCGCTCCTCGCCGAGAGCAGCCCTCCGTTCTCTGATCATCGCCAGAGCCCTTCCCTGCAGCTGCTGCGGAAAGAACCCAGGCGTCCAGAGCTGGACCCAGGATTCCAGACGCGGTCTTGCCAGCGCCTCGGCCAGTGGCATGGCAGCATCCCTAATAGGGTGGGCAAACCCGCTCCGTATCCGGGGGGGGTGGGCTGCATTGGCAGACTCTTGCTCAGCCAAGGCCCAGTTTCCATCTGCAAGGAGGGGCCGGGTCCTAGGCCCCTGCTAGTCGGGGAGGTGTCAGGGCCCAAGTCCCATTGCAAGTCGGCTCCAAGCCCTGTCATTTTGCAGCGTGGACGCAGCTGGAGCCGCAGACCCGAGTCAGAAGGTCTGTGAAACACCAAGGCCTCAAGCCCCAGGTCCCACAGACCCAGGCCTAGCGTGCAGTGTAAAAAGTTGACTCCTAAGACACTTAGGGCGCGTCTACACCGCAAAACAGCCCCATGGCCGCAAGTCTCAGAACCCAGGTCAATTGACTCGGGGCTAAAAATAGCCATGCAGTGGCCCCTTCTGAGGTTCAAGCTGCAGCCTGGGCTCCGAGACTTGGCCAGGGGGAGGGTCTCAAAGCCCAGGCTCCAGCTGCTATTTTCAGCCCCTGCAAGCCCAAGTGAGTTGACCTGAGCTGAGACTCGCTGCTGTGGGGGTGTTGTAGCCTGAGTAGGGTCTGAAAATGTAATCGCTCTGTGCCTCAGTTTCCCCATCTGTGGCGGGGCTCATAGCGCTGCCCTGCCGCACAAGAGTGTACGAGGCTAACGCCGTTCGAGGTTGCAAAGTGCTCTGGTAGTACAGTGTCAGGCACCAGGTAAGAACCAAAACGAGGTAAACTGATTTCAGTCAGCTGCTTTTAGATCCCACGTCTTTAAGCAAGCAGCTGGGCAGGTTTTAATTAGCAAAGAAATAACGAGGGAGGGAGAGAAGAGACTCCAGCGCGGAGCAAATGGCAGGGAAAAGAATTTCTTCACCGTCATTTGGATTCAAGACTCCAGTTTGGTTCAGCCATCGCCCGGATACATCTGAAGCTGACGTGCAGAAGAGGAATGTACCCAAATGACACGGTACGAGGCCAGTTTGCATTTTCCAGCGGCAGTGTTCTGTACATTGTTTAAACAGGGAAGGGCTCACCTAGCACTAAAATGCAGCTACCCCTGGGGTGGAAGGGTTGCAGTTTCCCCTACCACAAACCACGTGTGGTAATGTGGGGCGCAGGGGAGATATGGGCGCTCAGTCCCCACCATAAAGAAGACAGAATCCAGCATAACTCCCCAGCGCCTTCCCAGCCAGGGCACCGGAACTGCTCTGGGGATATGGAGAGGGAAGACAGAGCCACCCACAAGAAAAGGGCAGCTGTCTATCTATCTATCCAGCCAGCCGCCCCCCTATGCACCCCTCTGTCTAACCCTGTTCACACTCCTGTATCCATCCATTCCCATTCCCATCCCTCTATCCATCCATTTCCATTCACACTCCTCTAGCCATCCATCCCCATTCACACCCCGCTGTCTAGCCCCCCTTCACACCCCTCTGTCTAGCCCCATTCACACCCCTCTACCCATCAGTCCCCATACACACCCCTCGCTCCATCTACCTGGTTTCTATGTAGTTCCTCTCATGGTCATGTCTGAGCCACTGTTCCCCTTTCTGTGATGACCCCAGCAAGGTAAGATCTGCCCTTACCCTTCTCCCCCAGCCCAGTGGCCCCTTCTGTCTGGTCTTCAGCCATTCACAGCCTTTGCCTGCTATCCCAGTACTGCTGGGCGTATAGTGACTTCCATCTAAGAGATGTCTACTGCGTGAGATCGGAACTGGCCACCCATGAGTCATAGGCCCTCTATTCCCAATAGCTAACAGAGATTCCCCTTTGCCCTCCAAGTGGGGCTGGGTAGGCAGGCCCTATCCTTGCTACCCCATCACCTCCACATGCAGTTGCATTGATTATAATGTTCTCATGCCAGGGTCAATCTGTCAGCTGCCCACGTGCCCCCCAACTTCACCACACGCCAGCTGGTTTCTGTGCCCCGTGGCCCTTCTCCATCCCTTGGCGAAGGGGCAGGTGGGATGCGGGCCAGCTGCCTTGGCAGAGCAGGGCACTTTGGGCTCCCTTCCCCCATCCCCCGCCGGGAGCAGGCCGGGAGCTGGGATAAAAAGAGAAGGAGCCTGCACTTGGGGGCAGTCAGTTCAGGGCCCCCCACTGAGCCGCCCATCCTCTCCGTCCCTGGTTGAAGCAGACAGATGGTGACCCCAAGGGATGCCGGAGCCCTCGAAGGAGTGTAATGAATGCCCGGGAGTTTGCAATTTAAAATCCTCACCAATTAAGGCGACAGCTAGAGAGCTTTGGGGGGGGGGGTGCCGCTTCCCCTTTGTTCAAGAGTGTCTCCCCATCAGGATAATGTCCCCCCCCCCCAGAACCAGAGGGGCTCTAAGCACGGTCTGTAATGTTTGCCAGGGCTGTTCGTGGGGTCCCAAATCTCTGGGGATAAAGAGGGTGAAACAGACAACGTCTTTTGTCTTCCGAGTTCTTCTTCACCCCTTTTGCATCCCTCCCTTCCCCTGTTTTCTCCTTTCTAGCTTTCACTCTCTCTCTCTAGTTCTTCGAATGGGGCAGGAAATGCTTCCCCCACTCCCTGGAAAATTTCAACAGCAACTCAAATAGTTCCTTCGCTGTCTACCTTTGAGGGGGGGGGGAGGTTTGTTGGGGGAAAAACCCACCACTCTTGTTCCCCAGTTTTCAGCACCTTATATTTTCTAGTCGCTTCCATTTCAAAATTTTCAGCGTGTTTGATGAAAGCCGGGAAATTTTCCATGAGCAAAAGCATTTAGGGGAATTTTTTCTTTGTTCAAAAAGCCACTTTCCAATCCCCCCCCCCAAAAAGTGTTTTTTGATGGAAAATGTTCAGTATATGCTCAGTATAACCTTTCCCTATCTCTGGTTCTCTCGCCTTCTCCTTGGCTTTCTGTAGTTCTCGGCTTGTCTTTGTGTCCTGTGAGCTGTGTCTCTTTCTCTAGTTCCTTCTATCTTTACCTGTGCTTTTTTCTTTCTCTGTTTATCTTCATTGTTCTTTCTTTCTTTCTTTCTTTCTTTCTTTCTTTCTTCCCTCCCTCCCTCTCTGAGTACTGGGTAACCAGCCCACTTGCTCACTCTCCATCACCCCTGGGTTTCTCCAGAGCAAGGAGAGACACCCCACCCACCCCACCCCCAGCCACCAAGGCTTTGCTGAGCTGTTTGCCACCTCCCCTGGTATCGCACGAGGCCTCGAGCAGCTGGCATGGGGCACAACTGCCAGCTAGGCCCGATCCCAGGGTGCCTCCGGGAGCAGTGACCTGCTAATGGCATTGGAGTCAGGGGCCAAATCCGTCTGGACATAAAGGACTCCCCTCCCCCAGCCCTGGGAGGGGAGTGAGGTCTAGGGTTCGAGTGGGGCGGGGGATGGGAGGCAGGACACCTGGGTTCTGCCCCCAGCCCTGGGAGGGGAGTGAGGTCTAGGGTTCGAGTGGGGCGGGGGATGGGAGGCAGGACACCTGGGTTCTGCCCCCAGCCCTGGGAGGACCCTTTCTCTGAGAAGCTCAGGTGCACCCTGACGGCAGTGGGAGCTGTCAGTGAGTGGCAGCCCCTGGCTGGTAACTCCCGTGGCCCTAGTCCCAGCTGAGCCCTGCCCTGCCACTGACCCCACCCCCGTTCTAAGCCACTCCTGGCTACAGCAGCTGTTTCCTCTTTGGGACCACCAGGCACTTTCTGACCCACTGTCCCCAGCCCTTCTCTCTTGGAGCAAATGCCAGCTCTGCGGCAAGCTGCTCTGTGCAGCCAGCAGGCCCTGCTTGGTGCAAGCTTGTTGGCTCCATCACCAGTGGGGCGCAGGCCTCTCGTTGCTGCCAGGGACCCGCGTGGGAAGAATCATGGGTGGCGGCTAGGGGGCCCCAAACCGGCAGCATTGGGCACTGGAGTGTCATCTAGTGGCTAGAGCTGGGGACTGGGCGTTAGGACTGCTGGGTTCTGTTCCCAGTTCTTTGAGGCATTATATTCTGGTGGCTAGAGCGGCGAGGCTGGGATTCAGGACTCCTCAGTGGCTCTCCCAGCTCTAGGAAGGAAGTGGGGGTTAGTGGTGAGACCACTGGACGGGGAGCCAGCACTCCTGCAGTCCATTACTGACTTACCTTCGAGCCAAGTCCCTGCCCCACTCTTTGCCTCAGTTTCCCTCCTTTGAAAAATGGAGCTAATCCTTCCCTGGCTCTCAGAGGGGCTGGGGAACTGGAATGAATGATTGCAAAGTGCTTTGGGTGAGCAGAGTGATATATCATACCCCCGTCGCCCACCCTGAAATGCACAGATCTGCTCTGAGGCAGGACAGTCATGGGGGCGCTCCAGACACTTCCTCGGATGCTGCCACTGTGTCCAAAGATCCTCACACATTGCACCAGCCACACAATGCGCAGGAAAGGCAGAACAGTCAGCAAAGCGCCGGATCCAGCAGCCAGGCTTAAGTTAGTGCTCAGAGTGCAACGCACCCTGGGCACAGGGTGGTGCCCGGGGTTTGGGGGGCATGACAGCTGGCATCTCGTCCAACACACTGGGGGCCTCCCACATGAAACGGAGCAGCCAGTGCTGAAGCTCTCCATAGCTGGGGCTGTACCAACTCCTGTCCTCTGTGGACCAGCCCAGAGGGGGACCCGTGTTCCCTCCCTGCAAAGGGGGAATTTCACCCAACATTTCACCCCATGTGGGCATCTTGCCCCCAAAGTGTACTCACCGTGCATTTCCTCCACCAGGGGGAGCATGGCTGCTGCACATGGTGTGGGGGGGGGGGCGGAACATTGCCTGGCCCCCCAACCTGCTGATCAAGAAGACTTGACTCGCCCCTGATCTCAATCCAGCGCCTTTCCCCAGGGCCAATTCAATTCAAAGGTAATGAAAGAATATCGGGGCCAGTAACTCCCCCATCTCCTGCTTTGCTCTCAGCTGTTTCCAGGGGAATCTTCAACCTGGTGCATTAGATCGGCTGTTATTATTTACCGTGTGTATTGTGCTGGGGGCCTTATTTCTTCTATGTATTATGGTAGTATCTGCAGGCACTGACCGAGATCAGGGCCCCACTGTGTCAGGTGCTGCCCAGACACAGAGTGACCGAGACCAGGGCCTGTCCTGGGCGCTGCCCAGTCACAGAGTAAGAGCCTGTCCCTGCCCCAGAGAGCTCGTGGTCTTAGAGGTCTGTCTTCACTGCAAAGTTCACTCAGGTGTTGGCCTTAACCCCGTCCTGTCCACACACAAAATTCTCCCACCCACGCCTGTTGGTACTTTAAAATCAAGGCCTCGACCACAGGTCCATTGTGTACAAAAACATAGTGAGACCTCGCCCCCGCCCCAAAGAGTGTCCAATCTACATGGGCAAGCCACAGCCCCCAGATGAAACTGGCAAGTAGGCGGGGCCGAGGGCGGGGCTAACAAAGAATTGAGAGTTTTAGCACAGCCCCACCCTTGCTGCAGCTCTCAGCCCATAGCCCTGTAATTCCAGCTGGCTCCCTCTCTAGCCCTTACCCACGGCAGTGCACATTCTGTGGGTCCCACTGCTATAGGGCAGTTTCTAGGAGGGACAGTGTCGTAAAGTGGTCATCGAGGGGTTACCTGGGTTACTTGGAGTATTATGGGCTGGAGCCATGCCCCACCCCTCCCTTACTTCCTATTTAGTTAGTGGGTGTATGCCGCCCACCCCCAGTAGCTGAATAAAGCAGCATGTGTCTTGTGCACGGAGCAGTCTCTTTACCAAACTGGGGATGAGGAAAACCATAAGAACAGCAACTCTGGGGGAAACGGAGGTGTTTTAATGCAGACGGTGAGGAGCGGCAAGCAAGGTGTTGAAAGACAAGTGCACCTGTGCGTGTGGCCTGGCTCAAGACGAACCAAGTATTGCTCGTTTGCGAACGTCCTGGAGGAGCTGCTGTGGGTTATGCTGGTCTGCGAGAGAATTCTAGGGTGGTTGCTGGCAGCCAGGAACTTATCCTGATGATAATGGGATGGAGAGGTAGGGTGTCTTCGTAGGTGTGTGACAGTAACACCCGGAGGCTC